ACGATTTAAGTAGTCGGGATTATTCTTATCAAAGCACTGCAACCATTACGCGCGTTCTGATTGGTTTGTCGTATTTTCGCACATATAGTATGACCAGAAATTATTGAGAATTTTAGGAATATGTTTAATTGGATTTCTGGTATATAAACCTTGACCAGCTATCAAGTACTTGGTTTCATTCAAGAGAGACAACTCCGTTAATCCTTTTTCATTAGTTTGTGAAGAGTTATCCCCCCTTTGTTTACTTGCTTGCAGACGACATTTTCAGTGATCCTCAGTATGGATGATTTAGAGAAGAGGAAGTTGATTTTAGAGTATTATAACAAGGACATCAGATCAGCTAAAGTGAATTCAAGTAGAACAGGCATCCCTTTGTCCACTGTTTATCGTGTTTTGAAAAATATTGCAAATGGATATGGCATTGAGCACCAGGGAGGCGTAGGTAGGCCCAGAAAATTGACTGTCGGTGACAGGAGGCGGCTTGGTATTCTTGTTTCTAAAAACAAACGAAGGAGTTTAGAAAACGTAAGGCTGGATATGATCGATAGAGGAACTGTGGCTGTCTGTAAGGAGACAATTTGAATTGAGATGCATGCAATGGGTTGGCAGAAAAAAAGTGGAGGAATTCCATCACCGATCATGAAACCCAAACAAAAGGAGCGAAGGTTGAACTGGTGCTCACAGCATAGAAATTTTAACTGGGACAATGTGATTTTCTGAGATGAAAGTTCTGTGTGACTGTTTCCTAATACACTGAAATTCTGGACCAAACAAACCGAAAAACCTTTCTATCAGTGCACAAAGTACAGTCCGAAATTTAACGTGTGGGGTGGCATATCTGTGTTAGGGGCAATGCCCCTCTGTGTATTTGAAGGGAATATGAACAGTGAGCTGTACATAGATATTCTCTAGGGACATTTACTTCCATCTGCTCACGTGTTCTATGGAAATATTCGGATTTTCCAGCAGGACAACGACCCAAAACATCGTTCAAAGCATTCACAGGCCTGGTTTTGGACCCAAAATATGACATTATTAGATTGGCCAAGCTATAGCCCTGACCTAAATCCAATAGAAAATGTTTGGTGACTTATGAAGGAAAGTGTCAATAAGAAAGGTCTGACAAATATTGCTGAAATGAAAGAAGAGGTGGCCTGATATTGGGACAGCATGGACCACGACTTTCTAACTTCTTTGATCAGTAGTATGCCCCGCCGCATTGAAGCCTGCATTGCTGCCCATGGTGACTTGACAAAATACTAACTGTTCACCTGTCTTTGAATCTGGAGTTATGTTCTGCTATAATATTCACATTTAATACGTGAGTAATGAGTGAAAAAAATATAAAAAATTACAATCTTAAATTCTCAATAATTTCTGGTTGTACTGTAACAAACATCGAGACGGGATGAGTCTTCTTGGAGTTTACGGAAAGGGGTGAGTGGTGACGAATGTGAGTCTAGACCACACATCACATGGAAGCTTTAACATCTTTGAATCTGGACCAAACAAATCAGTGATGCACAGCATGAGCACATGTCACAAAGCGGGACTAACCAGTCCTCTTTATTTGGCTCTCACCATCATATGACCTGAATGAGATGTTACATTCAACACGATTCCACATGTCATGTTGCCTGGAAGAAAGGATTGTGGTTTAACACCACACTCATGGTCAATCATTGATTCTGGGCCACAATACCAGTGATTGATATTCTGAGCACTGATCTACCCAATGGGGATAGATGTATCAATCATGTCAGCAATCCTGACCACCAGTATCTTCATGTGCAACAAGTCACACCTCAGCCCTTCTTTCTGACAACAATTTTCTTGGACACTTTCTGCCACAAGGTATCATGAGAACAAACAAACGAAGTAAGTACAAAATACTTTATGAATATCAATTCAAATCAACTGAATAAGAACTTATTATGTACATCATCCACATTGGCACTATGAGGAAATGAGGCTCACAATGTATATACATTCCAGGTGACCCAACACAAAGTGATAACACATACTGGCACAGTAAAATTCACAACATACTAATTTGGTTTTATCAGTTTTATAACAGATAACTTGACAACTTAGTCATGCTACTTGTAGCAGCATTGAAAACACTACATATCAAAAGATAACATGACTGGAAGCTTGTGTAGGGAGCTAGTCAGATCTCAGTCCAGAGGAACTATCTTCCAACTACTACATAACGTACATGACCTGTAACATAGAATGCATACTATCTACAGTTTGGTGTCTGCAACTGTGATCTTCCAACAAGAAAGAGCGAGTGAGTGAGTTTGTTTTTTTGCCGCTTTTAGCAATATTCCAGCAATATCACGGGGAGGGACACCAGAAATGGGTTTCACATATTGTACCCATGTGGGGAAACGAACCCGGGTCTCCGGCATGACGAGCCAACGCTTTAACCACTAGGCTACCCCACCACCCCCAACAAGAAAGAAATATTCTGTGTATGTAAAGGCATGTTGTAACAGTGACATTTCAAAGTGAAACCCTGTCATTATATATATATATATTCCAAACTAAGAAAGACACTGCTTACTACAATGTAATTTTGAAATTTCTAAAATCACATATGAGCTTAATGTGTGACCTCTGCTCAGTTTACTTAAAAAAAGAAACAATACTGTTTTCTACATCTATACAAAGGTTTCAATGCAATATATGACAAAAAAATCATACAGTCATCAAAACATTCTTCATGCAAACTTAGGTTCATGACAAAAAAACATAGTATCAAAATAGTGGAAATCAAATACAAGCATACCTGAGTAAATATACTGAGTTCAGTGACACAAGAAAGAACAAAAAAAAATTCTTCTTCAAAAGTTATGTAATACCAACACATGGGATCAATTTGATGCAAAATTCAAACTTATTCCGCCAAACAAGATGAAAAACAAATCGACAAGCCTGATAGTCTTTCTTCCAATAAAACAATACACTAAATGTTCCAGCACACAAAGTAAAACATTATAGAGGAAGTGCAACTTGCATAACTGTGAAAGAACAGATTTTTAACCCAACACCCCTCCAATGAACTTAACAGTCTGACAAGGGTATTTCCATGGATACAATCTTCGTTATGCTGATAAACAGGACACATACCCGTTTCATATACAAATAAAATATAGACTGCAATTGTGATACAATATTTGAATCTGACTGACCACCAGTGCTGGATTTCATTAAGCTATCATAGTGCTACTGCTTTATATCCATGCGTTAACAAACGACCAGGTGAATCTCAGCTGGACAAACATGGCATTGGACTATTGCTGTACTATAAAGACATATGAGCTGTAACTCCAGGTGAGTCACAGTTTTACTGCTTTTCTAAAACACATAAGGAAAGGAATATTGCTGACAAACTAAGAATCCTTATCAAGGTGAAACTGAAATTTGCACACATGATCGCCGGGTCCTACAGGCAAACATGGATAAGTTGGACCGGTGCAGAGAACGTGTTTACAAGTAGGCAGTGCACAGCAATGAGCAAACCCATTTGGTTTGTGTAAGGTAGAGCAGATGTAGGCTAATGCACGTCCATTGCATGACGATGAAATTGATTCCGTGAGTAGCTGCACACGCCTTGCTCATAAGACTCACACGTCGGTGCAGCAAGTCGCACTACACATGATCGTGGACAACCTGGGGCCCCTTCGTAAACAATGGCAAGCGCAAGTGGGTGGCACTCATACATGTTAATATGGGTCAATTGTCAGGTCGGTGCTCAACTTATCCTTGTTTGCCAGAAATATGACTAAGGACACAACTTCAAATGCCTTAGAGAACTGAGCAGCACCATAACATTGCTATGAAGCTCAACTATGCCACATTTCATTAGGCAGGGTTAAAGATGTGGCAACTCATATATTCTAACATTATTACCCGTATAGGAAGGAGGACACAGGGTAGTATTCTTCCTGTAACCAACTTGGGACGGGGAATGACAGATTATATTTCCCTTGGTATATTAATTACCGTATATTACTGTAGATAAGCCAAATTTTGAGGACCCAAAAAAAGCAGTCTGTAGAAGGGGGTCGGCTTATCTATGGGTTACGCTTCCGTGAAACTTTTTTCCAGGGGTATGTACTTAATATAACTCGGGAAAATAATATGTCATTCCCCGTCACTCGTTATTGTCTAAGTACTCACTCAGATCTCCATGCAATGCATGGCCCTGAATAACAAACAAAACATCTCTCCCAATTGAGAGAAATGCAAAGAAGGTTCTGAGGTAGTACAAACTGGTACTTAATGACTAGCCTTTTCAGTAAACTTTGGCTGTAACACTCATTGGTAACATGAAAAGTTAACACAAAATACGTTCTCCTTACAGGAATGTTACATTGGTTCTAGAGACTTGGTCCAGTAAAAAGCTGCAATACGACTAGCACTAATCCCTATCTGTAAGGGCATAGCACTGTGTGAACAAAGCACTGTCATGTTAATCACTTCACAAGTACAGAAAAATGTTTGTCTCACCAAGGATCACAGTGAGGGTAAATATGGGATTTGAACCTATAATCAGCAGATCCTGTCATGGCTAAGGGACACTACTCTGTACAGCCAGAGCTAGTGCCTATTGTGATAAACATGTAACAAAAATAGCATTAAATGCCTTCAAAACATATACACAAAAGAACCTACAGAGATCTACCTTGATTCCAAGTCTAACAGCGAATCAAAGACAGAGAGTCCATTGTCAGCATGATACATACCATTCTTCATATATTTAACATACTGTGTTTGTTACACAAATGGACAAAATCAACTAAGTTAATACATCAGTGAATGAGTCATTAGCATTTGAAAACCGATCTTGACAATGTAGGTTATTATGTAAGCAGGAGTGATGACCCACCTGAAAAATCTGTTCTGATTTAATTGAGTGAGTATTGTTTTACGCCGCTTTTAGCAATATTCCAGCAATATCACGGCAGGGGACACCAGAAATGGGCTTCACACATTGTACCCATGTGGGGAATTGAACCCAGGTCTTCGGTGTGACGAGCAAACGCTTTAACCACTAGGCTACCCCACCGCCCTGTTCTGATTTAACGCAATGGCAGATGACAGAATGAAAGGGTTCAGTACAGGGATAATGATTTTAGTTAAAAACCCTCTAGCATGCACAGGCCATAAAAATACCCCAGTGTTTATGAAATCGTCGTTAAGCAGATGTACATATTACTTAATGTAATGATTTCTGTTATGCCTGAGATGCTATTATGGAGGATGTATTATATGGAAGGTCTGGTTCATCAACAATTTTCAAGATGATGATGAGTATTACGCCTTCTCTCCGTAACGTGATGAATCACTACCCCATGATGCCATTGCTGTGACATCTGTGGCTACTGCTTCACGACAACGTATTCACTGTGAGGCAGATGCTGCCTTCCTGACACCTTATTTCAGTCTTGGGAACTCCTCTTGGAACAACGTGTATCTCCTGCAGGTAGGACATGTTCTTTCATGGCCCAACACCCACTCTCGGATACACTGCAACATATAAGTTGACCTGGGTCAGTAGGGGCCACGGCCCCGTTTCTCAAGGCGATCGTAGCGCTACGACAGTCGTAAGTCTATGTTAAAGTATAGGAGTTACGATCACCTTAGGGTTACGATCGCCTTGAGGAACGGGGCCCTGGCTGAATGTGAGGGGTCTGTGAAAGGGAGGGTTATTGGTTGAAAAAGTGGATGACCCATGTGTCTCTGAGTAATGAGTTAATATTGCTCAACACCATACATTAGCAAAGTGTTTGAGACACTAGTAGTGAGTGCAAGAGTTTGTGGGTGAGTCATTGAGTGAGTGGAAGAGTTGGTGTAGCAAGAAAACTGGTCACAGCGTGAGTGAGTGAGCGGATCAGTAAGTCTTGGGCTGAGTGAATGGGCAGGCTGGGAGGGCAGTAAGTTATCACATTATTGAAAAACAAATATACAGGACTCCTCCAAAACTTGCTTTCACAATTTGTGTGTATGTAAAGAATCAAACAAGGTGAAATGTCATGGTAACCACATGTTTACTCATTTAGTTCCAGAGTCCCTGACACAAGATAACAAAGAATAAAGGATGTCAGATTCGTACGTATTACGAACCACCAAGTCTCCAGAAGCAGACTAACCTTTCTGTACACAGATTATAATACCATGACTACCCATTGAATGTGACACTTCTTAAAGAACAATTCTTGTCTTGCAAAACACATGAACATTGCTACTATGTTACTGTATAACGGCTAGCGATCCCCTTCTTCTTAATTCTTCTTACCTCGTTAGGTTTAGAAAGCCGCAAATAACTCAGTGCGCCTAGTGGCCGAAGAGTTGTATAATCCCCAGGGAGTTGAAATTGATAATACGATGTGCCGTTGAGATTGACATCCAATGATCGAGGGAAAATACCAGAGCCTTGAGCATGCACTAGTTGCCTGGATATGTACGCTATATAAATATCCTATAATAAAATAAAATAAATAATTGAGACATTCTGTTCCTCCCCCCAACCCTCCCCTCACTATCTGAATGGCTATCTCCAGATGACCAGCTCACACTATAATGGACTTACCTGTATGTGGAACTCATGTCCACAGTCTAATCTCTGCTTTTTGGCAACAGAAAAATCCTCAAAACATATTGGACATACATCTTCATCATTCACTGAATCCTGTAGAGTTGAAAGAAAATAGCATTTAATGTGTTGACATAAATTAGCTAAAAACTCAAGCCAAACATCATAACATTATGTTGCTGGATATCAGTCTACATCCCTGACGTCACTCACAGGAACTGATAAACATTGCACATTGTGGCATACATTTGTCATGAAGAACACATACTACGTGAGTGAGTGAGTGAGTTTAGTTTTACGCTGCTTTTTAGCATTATTCCAGCAATATCACAGGAGGAAAGACACTAGAAATGGGCTTCACACATTTTACCATGTGGGGAATCGAACCTCAGCCTTCAACATGTTAAGCGGACGCTTTAACCACTTGGCTACCCCACTGTCCATCATACATACGAAGAGAAAATATGCAAAATTAATGCAAACAATTTCAAAACTGGGTTATGAGTGTAATTCAGTACAAAAGACATGTAGACTGATGGCATGAAAGATTTAAATTCAGAAATCCTAGTCTTATTCACTAATGTTTCTTTGATATGAATTCTTCACAAGGGACATAACTCTTGCTAGAAGATCCTGCATAATCTCAAGTGCTATCTGATTGTCAGTCCCTGGCAAGTCAAGTTGATGCAGATTCCACTATAGATGCAACAAGATAAGCATGATGTGTATTGAACCTCCAAGAGGTTTGTCTTACCCCAGGAGACGTGATGGCCGGTCTGTGAGGAAGCTGTTTCCTGGTTGTTTCGTAATATTTCTGAAACTCAAGTGTGTTGTAGATGTTGCTGCCTTTCTGTGCTGGTGCTGTTGTTACCTGCAACAGACCAACAAACAAGCATTCAGAATTACACATTGTGTTCCCTTCTTCCTTCACATAATAAACTACACCATTAAGACAGTCCAGTCCCATTTTCTTACTACATTCGCTTTTAGTCAAATTAAAATATATTACTTGCTCCATAGCAAACTATCTGAAGAAGAAGAAATGAGGTATCTTCTGGTCAAATTTGATTCGTTAAAACATACCTTCGGTACAGATTCATGTTCAAGTTTGGCCATCATTTTTTTATGAACAATGCCTCTGCCTACATCGACGATGTCATTCAACTTCATCCCTGTCAAGCCCCCTCGCTGTGAACGTATGGAGGTTACCAGCTCAATCACTTCTGGCCTGACAGAGAAACACAAACATGACACATCAGTCAAATCAGTCAGTGAGTGCTGGGTGTACAGAGTATCTATGCTAAACAATCCCATCTTCAATACTGTACGGTTTTGTATACAAAGTGTTCCCTTTCAAAACATATGGTTGATAAGTGTAGTAGTAATGGCAACTATCCATTTTAGGTGAGGTGAAATTGGGTTTTACGTTGTACTTGAGAATATTTCCTCATATGACGACGTGCATGCGTGTGTATGTGTATGTGCGGCTGTTTGTACTAGCCCAGACTTAAGCTGGTTTTATAGTGCTAGCCCACTGAGATACCATGCCGCAGTGAAGCATGAATACCCCACTCAGACACATTATACTGACTCCGAGCCGACCAGTCCTTGTTGTACCCATTAATGCCAAGCGCCAGGCAGGGACCAACAAGTACCATATCTTAACGTCTCTTGGTATGACGCGGTCGGGGATCGAACCCACGACCTTCCGCTCTCTGGGCGGACGCTCTGACCACTACACCACGGAGGCGGTAACTATCCATTCTAAGTCAAACAATGAAGTGAGACTTGAAGTAAACATTGGAAGTCCAAAATGTCCTGCGCCATGTATCAATTTTTTTGCAAATCCAAACATACTGGAGTAATGTGTAGACTATTCAACTTCAGCGTGTACTGGTCAAAGCCAAGAGCTTACCTGTTGGTCAAATACCTGTCTGTAAATTGAGGGCTGGGTGGTTAATGTTTGATTGTTTCACCTACCGTGATAAGAAAGGAAAATGCCCTGTGAGATGCTCCACAAGTTTTTCAAAGTTGTTTCGAGGTGCTTTGGAAGGCCCCTTCGATGTGACTGTTACAAGAGCCATACTTGCTGCTGGTTCTCCCCGTGCTTGCTCTCTCTTTCTTTTCTTCATACTAACCTGTAACAGACAGCATAAGCACATGCTGACACCCTTGTTGGCCCGCTGGCAAGGTGTGTGGATCAAGGTTTTGTCAGGAGCGCAACAGCTGTGAATCATCAGTACTCACGGAAGTAACCTCCAGTAGCACAACATCCATAAAATATCATAGACCTTTTGCGACACAAACTTGCCTGGGTTATGACAGACACCATAAAGAGAGTGGGACTTTCTCAAATCACCATCAGGAGAACCATTCGCAATAAGACTTTTCGGGTGAATGAAGGTTTGACTAACAATGCACTACTCATGTTACTTACTACAAAGCAACGATTATATTTCCGATATGAATCCTATCATCCTTTCAAGATCAGTACTGGGAATAACATCCCCTGTCTTGCATCACTACCTGTTGTAGTGTGTCCTACTTCCTGTTGTAATGCATTCTATCATTATCATAAAACTACTACTAGAAACTATTAGCTCGTACAATTTTGAACATTTTCTGAGTATCCCCTACTATTGTTTGGAGTACATATTTTACAAAACTGCCAAACTCTCCAAACATGTTGTGTGGTGTCAAGTATGCCAAAGAAATATATTAATTTTTTTAAGATCTCTGAGAAACAACTAAGAGCTTTGAGAAACAACACTAAGCCAATATTCAGACTAAGTGAAAGTTGTTTCAGTGGAAACTTGTACATTGTTTGTTTAAAAGATACTAAACTTTCCAAATCCACCAGTTCACCACTAGACTTATCAGTGTGACAAGTTTGGTCAAGTATGGTTCTCAAGATCTGCTGAGCTCCAGAAACATCGTGCAAGGAGAGACACAGGATGATGTCCAACTTCTAAACCATTTTAAAAGGCCTCATGGGGGGAAATAATGTAAATATAATACCATAAACTGTTTTAAGACACAGCTGGGATGGAGGAGGCCCATCAGTAAGCTCTTACAACATGCCTAGAGTACCCCAAATCCCCCTCTTGTATTTACCGTCTGCCAGTCATCCTCGTCATCATGATTAGGTTCCTGTTTCGGCTCAGGCTTCTCTCCTCCTTTGCTCTCTGCAACATCATGGGAATATGTGTTTAAGAATGTCATAAACAGGATAATTACCCACGTGGTCAACGTATGGGTAGTTGCATACTGATCTTGTACGTCACAGGAGTGTCGTATCGCGTTGACCTGTGTCGTAACGACTTGACCTGAGACTCTAACGATTTGATTGGATAACTGATGACCTCTCAATTAGGTCACATTCTGACGTAACTATTTTTTCATTCATAACAAACACGCGAATTCATTCATTCTGAACTTAAATGCATTGTGGGAATGTAAACATTGCCAACGTTGCCGTGTCGCTGTTTAATTGTGAGTCGAACTGAGACATTATATCCGTCGAAAAACATAAGCGCAAGTGATGTTAGCAACAGTCGGTCAGATACTATAGGAAGGACGCTCGTTTCGTATAATTCGTATGTAATGAGACCTCGTGTAGTATTCTCTATGTACGAGGGCGGTATTTAAAGATTTTCCCTGACCCACTTCCGACAGACGTAGACAAACATAACTTGGAACAGTTATTAGTCTTTCTCTACATAGGCACCACTAAGTGTTATACAATTTTCCCATCATTTTATGCAACTCTGGAGGCCTTGTTTGTAAAAGTTGGTGGGTTGAGCCTCAAGCCAAGACTTCACTTCGGAAAACAGTTTCATCATCTGGGAAACATGTTCCCATCCAAAATGACTTGAAGGTTGGAAACAGGTGAAAGTCAGATGATGCTAGGTAAGGAGAACAGGGGAGGAAGGTTTATAGCTACAGTAGCACGAGATGTGGACTTGGGCATTGGCTTGCTGGAGACGGTCAGCATGCCGCGCCTTTTGAGTTTGACAGCTTCTTGCAATTTACGCAGTAGTGAAGCATAGTAAGTCCCAGTAATTGTGGTACCCATTGCCAAGAAGTCTGTCATCACTATTCCGAGCTGGTAAAAAAAACGAGAACCAGTGAACATGACCTTTCCTGCAGAGGGTTGAACCCTTGCCTTCTTTAGTGGTGGTGAGTCAAAGTGCGGCTACCCATGTTCCATCCAGAGATCGAATCTTTCAAAAAAGGCTTCCTGGTTTTCTTGGCACATGTCCAAAAGAGCCTTTTGAGCAGCCTGGGAATCCACTGTGCACACACTTTATGCATGTGCAAATGGTCGTGAATAATTTCCACAGACCCTACACTTATCTTCACACTTTGGGCTAACTGGCCAACAGTTATACATCTGTCTTCTAAAATGGCAGTGTCCATCTACTGGATGGTGTCTTCATCAATGGCAGAATTGAGGTGCCCAGGAATAGGAATTGTTTCAACAGATGTTCGGCCACACTTGAACTGGCAATGCCAGTGTGTTACAATGTCATATGATGGGGCATCATCCCCATAAGTTTCTTTTGTTTTATCGATGGTGAAAAATGATCACTGCTCGGTACTCGACTGGCTCCATAGTCACACCATTTAGGAGATAAACATCGACATTGTAAACACAAAAGTAAACCGAAAGGTCCACACACATTTTTTGTGTCTGCTCTCATTGACATCGAGTACGGGTACAGCAGTGAAATGTCATCAGCCGGCCGTTTCGGCTGTCTCCCATGGTAGCATCTGGAACTGCTCATTTGTGACGTCATTCGGACTTTACGTCACAATATGATTTTAATGACGTCATCACAGCTGACGATGTAACAATACAATGGTGTGAGCGATGTTTGTATGTATTAATACGCAGAGAATTTCTGGGAATCAAATACCATTTGATCACGTTTTTTCAACCAATCAGATTAAAGAACACAGAGACTTTTGGTTTACAATCTCATATAAAACACTTGTGAATGGGGGAGCAGTGTGAGTACAGTATTGCAAATTATCATGTCACCTATAGCTTCATGTAAACTATACAGTTAAAATTTCAGCCAGATAAGATAACCCTAAGTGGGTCCGGGGATATCTTTCATGAACGCTCCTCGTATCAAAACTCATCTATTTAATGTCATCTTCATTTGGACTAAAAGCCCCCAAAAAGTGAAATATATTTCTGTCACTATGGTTTTCACCATGTAAAAAATCAGGGATGAATGACAGATCGCGGTTACCACAATTACGTAAACCATAGACACATGTGGTGTCTGGCACCACTAAAACATCCTGTTTTTACTTCATTTCACCATTTTTATTGGGCCTAAAATTTTTTGTTGCGGTTCCGACTACCTGACTGACAGCCCTTAAATTCTGGTGCCGACCCTATTTTTTTTAAGCAGTATGATTAAAATAAGCTTTCAGATCTCATTGTTTTTTCCCGGCACCGACAGACATCGGTTATTCTGATAAAGTTGATATGATGGCCGCAAGCTGGATTAAATAAATAATTACACAGTGACAAATGTGTTACCGGTATTAGTTTCTACTTTACTTCTAAAATAAACATGTAAAAACAAATAATTCCTACCTATCTACCCTAAATTTTAAGAGGTGTAATGGGAACCACAACATTTTTTTTTATTTGGCCTTGTATAAGAATTATGTGACAGTGCAATACAATGCCCTCAATTCACTTGGAACTGTAGTCTTGGAGGACTATTTAATAAAAGGCTACCTACTTTTTTTCTCTTTCTTCAATTTTGCATTGATATTGGCATTGCTCCTCAAGAGTCTCCCAAGGAAGTTAGCGTCAGGCTTGTTGGGTTTGGGTTCCATCTTGAAACCAGAGTCCTTAATCTCATCAAGTCCTGTGCAGGACATGTTTCTTTTCTGCCCAAAGTCCTTGAATCCTTGTGTGCTGCTCCCTAAGATTGATGCTGCCATCTTGTCGAAGTCCTCTTGTCCACTTGCTTGTTTCTGGGATGCAGCTATGCTTCTACCTTTGAAGGATCCGCTTCCTGGTCTTGGATTAGATGAGTTTGTTGGCAGTGAAAGTTTCCTTGACCTGTAGGGTTGGTCCCAGAATTCTGGAGTGGTGCTTCTTGATGAGTTCTGGGAGCCTAAGTCTTCATCTGAATATCTTGGAGGGTCAACAGGCCTAAAATGTACAGGTCTCTTCACATCTTGTGTACATGTAAACTCCTCGGGGTATTTTTCACACTGCTCTTCCCAATCCTCATCCATTTTGATAGTGGTAGCCTTCACAGAAGGAAAGAGTTCTCTGGAGTCACGAGTCGCTGGTGATATTCTACCTCCACTTCTAGGCTTCGTGGTTGATCTCTTCCTCTGTGGTGCTGCTTTCGTGATGCTGGGAGGTGCATGTTGCTCAAAAGGATTGACGTCTTCAGTGGTTAACGTAGTCTGTCCAGCAACATTGGTACTGCTAACTGCAGCAGCTTCAGTAGACCGTCTGTCCTTCAGGAGGTATGATCTCAATCCAGCAGGTGTCATTGCTGAATCTGTGGCAGTACCAGAGACAACAGGCTGAACGACTGATGGACCACATGTCTTGACTTTAGGTGGGGGAGTTGCTTCAAATTTGAACATATCAGGATTCAGAGTCTTTATATCGGGTACTGCTGCCTGCTCAACATCAGACTCTCCTCTGCGAGCTTGCATCATGTTAACAAGACCTACAGGATTCCAGGCAGCCCCACCTGACTGAGCTGTGTCGGTAGGTCTTGTGTTTCCTGCTATGTTGGCCTTGACAGCCTCAGACAATATTGGGGCTTGTAAAGGGTTGGTCCTCTGGCCAAGTGGACTGGCACTACTCTCATGTATTGACGGGAAGTTCTCTGGTTGAGATTGTGTCTCAGGATGTGCTCCTGGATGTGTTCCTTGAATGCCTGGAGTGACACCAGAGGCACCACCAGGTACGTTCATATAGGACTGCAGCACCATTGTTTGTTGTACACATACTGTCTGCAACATCACAGGGTTTGAAGCCAGTTGAGGGTAGGCCTTAACAACTTGTGCCAGCACAGCTTGGAACAAATTGGGGTTCAACTGATCAGGTTGTATCGCCTGTTCTAAAGGCTGCTGTGATACTTGCTGAGATGGTGGCAGTTGGTGCTGAATAGGTTGTATGGGTTGAACTTGTGGGTGATTGATCTCTGATGAATCTGATGAATCAATGTGATGATTTGTATTGAAGTTTCCTTGTGGTGTTTCTGTTATTAGTAAACCAGAGCCCTGATCCTGATTACTTGAACATGACAGGTCTGTGTCAAAGTGATTTGGAGATGGTTCCTCTTCTGCTACAGCATGTCTGACCCCAAGTCGTTTCATAGCACTAGCCTTCAGATGGGACACTACAGATCCTCTGTCACCGCTGTCTCGATTCACCACCTTGCGTACCTCATCAGAAGACGGAGTGCGTACATCTGGGGGAGGAGTCAAAATCTCTACTGGTTTGTTTGGAGATAAGCTGGTTCTTGGCTTGTCAGGAGATAAGTTGTTCTGTTGTTTGTGTGGAGATATCCTTGATTTGATAGGGGAACCAGAAATTGAAGACTTTGAGTCCACTTTCCCTTTCTCTGATGCAAGTTGGTAGTTCTGAAGGACAGTCTGGACTTTCTTCACAAGGTCAGAGTCAATGTCACATTCATCATCAGTGTCTTCCTCAATGTCATTCTGTAACAAAAGAAATACAGATAAAAGTATTTAAGCCCAAAACTAAACGAATTATGAAGTGTCTATGATAATAAACATGCAATATGTTGGATAGCCAAACAAGCAGCATACAGTAGAAGCATAAATATCTAGATCCTATCAGTTCATCATTTGGACTAGTGGTAAGGTACCATATTTCAGTCAGAAAAAACATCAGCTACAAGTTCCATCCATGAAAACCAAATACATAAATCATCTTATCTTTAGACTGTCTTATTGTACCTGAATACTTATAAATCCTGGAGGAACGCTTTTGTCCAGTTTCAATGCATCAGGTTTCTTCTCAACTGTATCACCAGAAGCCTTATCCTCGGTATCTGTAGCAACAGGTGTAGAAGACAAGCTACTGCTTGCTGTTTCATACTCAGAGTCTTGTCTAGTGATTCTGTCAGGAGAGCTAGTAAACTCTGCCCGATTTCTAGGGGGCAGTCTCAGAGGAAGAGGGGGTATTGGTTTTGGAAGTGATCTAAATGATGAGGCCTTGGATGAGAGTCTTGATTCATGTTTTGGCAATGAAATGTTTTCATTGTTTTGACTTGGTTTATGTTCTTGTTGAGCACTATCTAGGGAGACAGGAATATCAGTTTTTGTGGTTTCCGCGTCTTCAATTTTCAATGTTACATTCATATTATCTCTCAAATCATCCTTACATGGTAAAGAAGGATAAGGTTCAGATTTGGTGACAATGTCAACACAAAAGTCTTCTCTCTCAACACAATGTCCTGTGCCAGGATCAGAAGCTTTTTCTTGTTGTATGGATAAGGACGTTTCTCCAGAAGCGTATTGATATTCAGTTTCTGACATGCAAGAAGATGAAGCTGTCATTGCAATGGTTGATGCAGGCTCAGAGACAGAAGAATTGCTGGAGCACTGTGATGACATTAGTTCAAGTTTGTCATCCTCACCAGAAGACAATGAAGATATCATCTCAAAATTTGGGACTCTGCCGAACAAACTCTCCTTACTGGAACCAGATTCTAATGTAGCAGCCATTGCTGTTTCTGAGGAGCAGGTAGTAGCTTCCCCATCTGCTACAGACAAAGTATGGTCTGGGTCACACTTCAATAATTCAGATCCTGATGCTACAGAAAGACATTCCTGGACTGTCCTGGTAGAGGGTTCAGCTGTAGACTTATACACAGAGCCATAATCAGATTCTTGGTGCCTCAGTGATCCTGACTGATGAATCTCAGAGACATCCCATTCCTGATCTTTCAATGACTGCGACTCACAGATATGAGAAGCAGATTTACAGCCTGTTCGTGACCTATCCCTTTGCATTGCAAGGACAGTTTCTTCCACAAGTTGTCGAGTTGGTACTCTGTTACACCTTTCTCCAGTAGACACTGTATGGAAGCGAGACATACTTTCTAAACCTGCATCTAATGGTATGGTTTGATGAGGTGGGAGTTCTTCAGACGTTTCATCAGCAGGGATACTCTTGTAAGGTGACATTCTTTCAAATCCTAACTCAAAAGGCATGTTCTGCTGTGGCGTTAACCCTTCAGTTCCTCCATCAAGGGAAATAGTTTCGTATGGCGGTATATTTTTAAGGCCTGGCACAGTCATTTGGGGTGATACACTTGCCAAACGTCCCTCGATGGACATGGTATTCTGAAGGCAAACATTATCCCCAGAAGCTTTGTCTGCCTTATATGCACATATCCGTGAGTGCCGAGATTCAGGATTTACATCTGTTGGACTCCTCAGAAACTTCAGCTGTAACCAAAAACAAAACAAAATCAGTTTGGCTTAAGGCGGCTTTTCTTGTCTATAGACAGTATTGTCAACTTCAACTATAAATTCGGGTGCAATTCGGGGTGTTAGTTTATCACATGGCTTCCATTGTTTATTGTTGCTCTGTTTGTGGCTGTGGCAGATTTGATAGGCGGATTGTTCAGTCCTAAGTGGCTCAGGGATAGTTTCTTATAAACATGAACCTTGTTGTTGGCAGGGGACTGACTGACTGACTGACTGAGTATGGTTTTACGCCATTTTTAGCAATATTCCAGCAATATCACGGCGGGGGACACCAGAAATGGGCTTCACAAATTGTACCCATGTGGGGAATCGAACCCGGGCCTTCGGCGTGACGAGAGAACGCTTTAACCACTAGGCTACCCCACCGCCCCTGTTGGCAGGGGAAACTCATTATAAGCAAGGCATTATGGCTTATGGCTGCTATTGTCGGTTACGTCACTGCATCAGCTTGATGTGGTGGGCAAGCCATAATTCAGGTAGGTATTACAAATTTGCTACTTTGTCGAAACTGCAACCACAGTTATGGTGCTGACATATCAAGATACATTTTCAGGGAGAATCAGGTATGTAAATCCAGTCATAGATTTCCAGTATGCCTAATGATACAGAGAGGACAACACCATATAGTGAATGGCAGCACCACAATGAAACATGCCGCAATGAAATATCTACATGATTTACATGAAAATCTTATGAAAAACAAGAAATACATTGCACTCACATTTTCAGAACGTTCTGAGTGAGTGAGTGAGTGAGTGAGTGAGTGAGTGAGTGAGTGAGTATGGTTTTACACTGCTTTTAGCAATATAAATGGTGGGGTACACCAGAAATGGGCTTCACACATTGTGCCCATGTGGGGAATCGAACCCAGGTCTTCTGCGTGACGAGCCAACGCTTTCACCACTGGGCTACCCCAACGCCCCTCAGAACGTTCTGAAGCATAAGGACACTATGTGTAGCATATAACTGTTATATGTAGCGTAACTGAGATATGAAATGTGTCATAATGTAGTATACAGAGATAGTATAAATTCAGCACAGTTCTACAAAGTCCATCCTAAAGACCTACCACGTCCATCATACAGGGCTACTAAGTCCATCATACAGACCTTCCAAGTCCATCATACAGGGCTACTAAGTCCATAATACAGACCTTCCAAGTCCATCATACAGGGCTACTAAGTCCATCATACAGACCTTCCAAGTCCATCATACAGACCTACCAAGTCCATCATACAGACCTACCAAGTCCATAATATAGACCTACCACATCCATCATACAGACCTACCAAGTCCATCATACAGAGCTACCAAGTCTATCATAAAGACCTTCCAAGTCCATCATACAGACCTACCAAGTCCATAATACAGACCTACCACATCCATCATACAGACCTTCCAAGTCCATCATACAGACCTACCAAGTCCATCATACAGGGCTACTAAGTCCATCATACAGACCTTCCAAGTCCATCATACAGACCTACCAAGTCCATCATACAGACCTACCAAGTCCATCATACAGAGCTACTAAGTCAATGAAACATGTGATGAGACATCTGTGTACCTCTTTAGGTGTGTAGATTTCATTACCCATCATGGTGGGTAGACTGATACCGAACGCTGGGATGGCAGACAGCGGGCGGCCACTCTGGAGGTCCTTCAGACAGTTCATCAGATGGATCTGATCCATGCAATATAACCATTAGAAAATATCAAACATGTGAGACCAAGAAATATTCCAGATATAAAACTAGTTAATTACCACATTCAAGTTTCAATTAAATGAATACTATCAATGTCTGGCTGGCTTCAGCTTTCCATCTATGGGGATTAGTGGATTGGGTGGTAAGGTTCAGTAACTTTAATGATTCCTTGATACCATACTGAGACAGTTTGCATTATAGCTAACAATACCAATGACTGGATTGTTTGATTTTACGCGTGCAAAGATACTTTGTATTGTACATAACACTTCACTTTCAAAATCCAATTCCAAAACAAAAGTAAATTGTTTTCCTTATGACCAACTAAAGCCATCTTACCTCAAACAAGTGCAATTCTTGTTGTCCAAATTATACCTGTAATTAACTGATTAACCTGTTCTTACCTTGGTCTGTGCTATTTCATCATGTAACCATACAATTCGTGCATCCACCATGTCCGTCAAGGAGTCCACCCCAGACCTATTACAACAACACACCTTGGTAATCAAACAGGTATATGAAGGGTCATAACATTTGTACCATACACTTGAGCTGCCCAGACTGAAGTGTCAATGTTTGAAATAAGGCTGGCCCTGGATTTGCTGAAATTGTATAATAATCCACTGACTGACTGAGTTTTGGTTTTACGCCGCTTTTAGCAATACTCCAGCAACATCACGGCGGGGGACACCAGAAATGGGCTTCACACATTGTACCCATGTGGGGAATCGAACCCGGGTCTTCAGCGTGACGAGACAACGCTTTAACCACTAGGCGACCCCAAGGACCATATTTAATGCTAAAATTATAGAAATACAGTTAACTATGGTTCAAATGAACTCAAAGATACCACAAAGTTAGGACGGTGGGGTAGCCTAGTGGTTAAAGCGTTCACTCATCATGCCGAGGACCCGGGTTCGATACCACAGATGGGCAGAATGTGTGAAGTCCATTTTGGGTGTCCCCCACTGTGATATTGCTGGAATATTGCTAAAAGCGGGGTAAAACCAAACTCACTAACTTTAGTTCGTTATACCTAAAAGTTCATTACATGTATCTGTTTGTCAGACATCTCTGACCACGTCATATTACCCTAAGCATAATAAACGTTTGCTCTGTATATTTATATTTATCTCATCTCATACATAACATTAGTAAATCCACATTATGCATAGATTGTTGAGACACACATCAAACGATGTCTAAAGTGTGGTGTGTCTGCTATTGTAACATATCCATACTGAATTATTTGTCTACAGACAGTATTGTCAACTTCAATGGCTACAGCTATTGCTTAACTATAACTGCGGGTGTAAATTGGGGGGTCAGCCTCCAAATGTTTATGGTTGCTCTGATTGAACGGCCACATATCGCCATGGCAGTTGTGGTGTTCAGCGCTAAGGGGCTCATGGATAGTTTCTTAAAACATGAACCTTGTCCTTGGCCGGGGACCCTCAGTTCAGTATAAGCATGCAACTATCATGGCTGTGATATGGCTGCTTCTGATAAGAATGAGGCACTCCTAATGCAAGGTACATATTCTGATTTGGAATGCTTATACACAGAACCAATGAACATACTGTGGAGAGAAGAAGCTTGTGATCTGCATCTTGCTGTGTTGAAGGTCGTCCACCTGCCGCTGCATCTCACTGATGCAGATCTGGGCCTTCAGGTGACACACCTGCATCTACAAGCAGAAACATCAGGTGCAACAGGCGATGAAGTCAGCAACAGCAAGACTGACTGACTGAGTTTTGGTTTATGCCGCTTTTAGCAATATTCCAGCAACATCACAGCGGGGGACACCAGAAATGGGCTTCACACATTGTACCTATGTGGGGATTCGAACCCGGGTCCTCGGCGTGACGAGCCAACGCTTTAACCACTAGGCTACCCCACCGCCCCGCAACGGCAAGAAGTCAGATATAACAAATGCTTCTATGAAAAGTACTACTTGACTATGGTTGGTTGGTTGGTTGGTTGGTTGTAGTACATACATCAATATAATGAGTGAGTGAGTGAGTTTTACGCCGCTTTTAGCAACATTCCAGCAATATCACGGCAGGGAACACCAGAAATGGGCTTCACACATTGTGCTCATGTGGGGAATGGAACCCGGGTATTCAGCGTGACGAGCGAAGCCTTACCACTAGTCTAGGCTACCCACCGCCCAGTGAGTGAGTGAGTGGTTATGGTTTTACGCTGCTTTTATCCACATTCCAGCAATATCACACTCAGCAATATTCCTTATAGAATATGAGACACTTTAGTAGTTCAGTCACATAGAAAATTAACATAAATCCAAATTTGTCACAATGTGACTTGACCACTCTGGTTAAAACCCATATGAGCTAACACAAAAACGGCCATGAAATTGCTTGTGTTTGTGCAACAATATTTATCAAAAACAGTTTCTGAATTACCCTCGCCATCATCAAGCTAGTTAATTTTTCCAGTCTTACTAATTATGTGATGAAGATAAATCAAACCTGTGCCTCAATCAGCTGTACATCCTTCTCTGGACACGCATCACATTGTTTGGCTATCAGGTCATCAGCTGACCCGACCTGAACCCCTCGACTTTTCACCTTTGGCCCTAAATTGGCCTGGACCTGTTGACATCTTGTCTCAACACATGCATTCACACCTCGACTCTTCATCTTCAAAGCCATCTCTGGCGTGAAGAAATCTGACGTCTCATTAAAACACACTTCGTCTGTGTTGACCCCAACTTCTCGGGGCTCAAATGCAAGAGGGGTTTGGACTTCCATATCATTTACTCTAATCCTCTTTGTATTCACACCAACACTGACACACAACGAATCCGACTGACATAGAGACTCTGGTGCCTCGGCCTTTGGGGTCCCAGCCTTTGGGGTTCCAGCCTTTGGGGTCCCAGCCTTTGGGGTTTCAGCCTCTGGGGCCTCACACTTTGGGGTCTCAGTTTCTGGTGTTGGTGCATCTGCAATGTAAACATCTACACCTGCAGAATGGTTCTTCTGGAACAGTCTGCACACTTCAAGTTCATCTGATACCTCAGTTTCATCTGTATCTTCTTGATGAGGTTTATTCTTTGCCTTATCTCTAAAGAAGCTAGGTTTGAACTCGGGACTATCAGGATTCAAAGTAGAAGCTGATGATGATGCTTCTTCAGCAGTGAATCTACACTGAAACTCCTTAGCAGTGGCATCAAGGTTTGAAGAGAAGGGCTCAGGATTAAATGGGACAGCATTTACATTGAGTTCAACATCAAGTTCACAACATGCATGTTCAATGATAACCTTAGCAAATTCATTTGAGAAGTCACCAAGACAGCCGTCAGACTTTCTTGAGCATCCTTCAGATGTTAATGACTTTGCATCAGAGCTGTCAATGCTGCCCGAGTCTGTGTGGACATCTGTGTCTTCCTTCCCACTCACTATGGAGTTAACATCAGAGTCATCACCACTCTGGGAAGGTGTCCCACCTCCCGTCTTTGATTCAAGGGCATCTGGTGTTATGGAAGGTTCAGCTTCTGCTGCAGATACCACTATCCCACGCTTAAGGGCGATTTCCATGAATCTGTCTGCTTTAACTCTCTCTGTGAAACGTTTGTTCACGGATGCCATCCTGGATCCTAGTTGGTCTTGAGTTCCAGTTCCAGCTGTTTCGGGGCAGATGTCTGTATCAGTAACTTTGACTTGTAAAGCTGGACATAAAATCATTTATTATCCATTCTGTTCGAAATCAACAAGAACATATTAATGACTAGGAATCATATGTAATTGGGAGATAAACATCATGATTGTGGTATTAGAGTTATTGGTGTTTCTTCAGTATTCAATGCTGGGAAATTTTATTCAGAATCCAGGGCATTACTTGGGAGATTTCCAGCCATGGAATACAGAGCATAACCAGAAGGGTGAAAACACAGTGTGTGTGGATACTGTAAACACCCGTGAAGATCTGGGTTAGAATTGATCTTTAGTAACCCATGCTTGTCGTAGGAGGTGACTAACGGGATTGGGTGGTCAGGCTTGGTGACTTGCTTGACACGTCATCGTAGATCGATGCTCTTGATTTTGATCACTGGATTCTGGTCCAGACACGATTATTTACGGACCACCACAATATAGCTTGAATATTGCTGAGGGCATAAAACTAAACTCACTCACTAAATGATATTATAAAAGTATCAGTCATTTTCTGAATTTTATCTAGCTATGTGAACTCTAACAGTTGTGAGACAGACACAATGTTAATTTTGAATGTGATGAGATCATGATACAATGGGTGACAACTCAACTGGTTAGCAGTAGTGGTGTAACGATACAGGAATATTATTTGCTACACAGCCAAAGCAAATACTCATTCAAATGGGCTGTACCATCCGACACTACCTGGCAAATGACCATATGACGCATCTATAACTCTCTACATTTTTAAGTGCTTTTTAAAAAATTTGCGAGATCATTTTTATTTGTTTCTGTTCTATTTCTGCCACACTCTAGAAGGCGTAGCGGTTTACCATGATTGTTGTTGAGTATTACCATTCGATATTCAAAGAAGCATTACTCATTTAGGCTCTAAAACTATGTTTTAAGAGACTTGCTTTAAATACTTCAACTGTTTAAGATATATTCTTAGGATATAAGAAATAGCATATTCTAAAAAAAATGTTGATGAAAAGAAGTTTTCAGGATAATAATTGTTGAATTCTCCAAGCGAGTTGGATTTCAAAGTCAAGGGTCACAAACTGTCATGGGTACAATGGATTCATACTACCTGAGAAACTTTAGAGTTCGAATACATATGCATTGGTTATTTACCAATCAAATGTTTTCTAATTTATCTGAAGTATTCTACAAAGGTCACGATAAAATACATATGATTCATTAGAGTACAAGTTGTGTTGATGTAAAGGATGTGAATGATAACATGAACTGTTCAAGAACCGGTTTATGTGGATTCTCTAGTATTTTCTGATTGGATATAAATAGCATTATCTGCATAGTGATCCCAAGCTAAACTCTCCTTCACCACAATATCCCAGTATTGTTTGAAAATTAAAAACAAATTATTCAGGGTTGTGATTCACCTGCAAAAAGGGAGAAACAAGAAGACAAAGTCATCAATATCCCCCGCAATGGCAAAATACTCTTCATGATTATGTCTACGAGTTATGATTATGTCAAATATTTAGGTGTGTATATAGAAAAGTGGAAGGAGAGTATTGAAAGGTTTTTTAAAGTTCTGCTCCAGAAAGCAGCACTATCACCAATGTAAGGCTAAGTCAAACTTGTTGCCATGGAAACGCCAAAATGTAATTTTTAGAGTAAAATTGATATTTTATACTTATCCTGACTCATGCTCTTTTGCTTGTCTTCTTCTTCTTGCGAACATAGTGGAACACTTGTATCTCCTTATTTGAAGCTCCCTTCAAAATAAAATCACTAATTGGTACTCACCACGAGTTGCTCCCCTTTGCTTCCCCTGGCGGGAAAGGTGTCGCCACCCTCTGGCCATGTGCTCCACTCTCTCCTGATTTAGCGAGCCCAACACTTGAATTTACAGGGAAATCCAAAGTGTTATGTGGGGAGGATGGGAGGGCTAACCTCATGAGTCAGGATAAGTATAAAATATCAATTTTACTCTAAAAATTACATATTTTTCCTTATCCTGACTCATGCTCTTTTGCTTGTAGCATCCTACGGAACGGAGGTGGGTAACATAATACTTTGGATTTATAATTAGTGATTTGTATAGATATACTGTAATATCCCCTACGGGAACTTCATGAAGGCTTAGATTTAGGATGTTTCCTGTATAAAGAAACCATAGGTTATATAAAGCCATTAAAGGGGAATTACATTATGAATATATTGAACAATACATATAAATTATATATATATAGGTGACTCTGATAGAGGCACTGAAATTGACTATACCAAAGTATATGCTTAAGGTTGAATACTTAAGCTGAACATATATACATAGCCCTAAAACTCCGTAGAGTTATAAGCTAGATGAGTATGTATAAAATACATATTAATCTTTGTGAGGATAATATTTTAACGCCACGAGGGACTGTCAGTTGCTGGCGAGGACCAGTGGTCCGAAATGGTGAATGCCAGAGACATCTTCTGTAGTGATGTCTCTCAGGTAGTGATTAGCAAATACCATGTTAGATTTCCAATAGCATCCTTCCATAATCGTGTTCAAGGAACAGTTACCGTGTAGGGCGAGGGTAGAGGCCAGTGCCCTGATCTCATGTGGATTTGATGCTGTTGGTGGGTTCAAGCCTGCTGCCTTGTAGGCACGGAGAATGACAGTCCTTATCCAAATAGATATTGTGGTCCGTGACACTTCTGTTTGATTAAGTAGGCGATAAGGGGATGAATAAACGCGTTGAGAAATCTTCTCCTTGTTTTGGATCGTCGTAAATAAACTTTGAGCGCTCTTACCGGACACAGTGATAGGTCTTGTGTATCTTCTGATCCGAGAATAGAGGATAGCGCCGGGATGTGGAATAATCTGTCTGGTTGACCTGGCAGTTGATTTTTTGCGATGAAATCCCATCTTAATCCGAGGTGCGCTGTGTTATGATTGTCATCAAACTGTATCCTCTCGTAATCCAGAGCGTGAATTTCAGACATTCTTGCTGCTGTGGCTAGCGATAGCAGAAACAGTGTTTTCTGTGAGAGAAATTCAAAGTTTGTCGATTCCAAAGGTTCATAGACCTCACTCGTGAGGTGTTGTAACACTACATTCAGATCCCAAGCTGGGGCGTGGAACTTCCGCTTTTGGTCCTCCAATCGGAAAAGCTCGTAGTAAGGCCAGTAACTCTGGAGATCTTGTCAATTTGACACCCGTTCTCATGGTGATTACAGAACTAAGCGCGGCAAGATATGTTGATATCGTTGAACCTTTTAATTGTTTGTTTTGCCGTAGGTAACACAAATAGTCTGCCACTTGAGGTTGTGAAGCCTCTCTTGCTGTAAACCCTTTCTTTGTTGCATAATTTTCGAAACTGTGCCACTTGTCGTCGTACAAGTTACGAGTTGAGTAACGTAAGGCAAGCGTGACTGCTTTTGCCGCCCTGGCAGAATATCCTCTCTTGTTTAAACACATTTGTATACAGTCCATACGTGTAGTTGGAACATTGCTGGGTTTCCGTGCACTTGTTTGGTGTGAGGATGAATTAACAGGTTTGCGCGCTTGGGTAGCTCCAGTGTTGGTTGACCGATTTCTTGAATTAGTATGGGAAACCACGTTCTGGCCGGCCAGTAGGGCGCGACCAAAGTGAGTTGTAGGCTCTGTGTTTGTCTGATTTTCTGTAATACTTGAGGTATTATTGCTGGCGGCGGAAACGCGTACGCATTGAGGCCTTCCCATGATAGACTTAGAGCGTCCGTTGCCCAAGCTTGGGGGTCTGGGACTGGTGACACGAATGTCGGTAGCTGATTGTTGAATCGCGTGGCGAATAGGTCTATTAGCGGCGCTCCTAATTGCTTGATTATCTGTGCAAAAATTTCCCTGTTGATCATCCACTCTGTCGGTGATGGTAGATGAGGCCGAGAGAGAGCGTCTGCTAGTATATTTCTGGCTCCGGGAATGTGCACTGCTCTGACATGTAGATTTAGATCTTGTATTAAATCGAACAGTTGAAAGCTTAGGTTCAAAAGGTTCATCGATCTCGTTGAGCCTTGCTTGTTTATGTAAAACGCCACTGTCGAATTGTCTGTATGGATCATTAGGCGCGCATTTTGTAGAAATGTGCTCCAATGTAGAATGGCGTTGATTACAGCTTTCATTTCTAGACTGTTTATATGGAGTTTGCATTCTTGCTGATTCCATAACCCTGATATCGTGTGGTTGGTGAGATGAGCTCCCCAACCTTGGAGTGACGCGTCTACATACAGATGGGTTTTGTATTCCTGCTCTGCTAAACAAATCCCTTCGCAGACATTCGATTTCTTGGTCCACCATAGTAGATGCGGTCTGAGATGTTTCCGGTAGACTGAATGGTTGTACATCGTTGAGATGTGCGTTGATGAGGACCTGTAGGGGACGTAACTGTAATCTGCCTGTGACAGTCATGTCTTGGGCTGATGTGAGAAGACCTAGTAGGCTCTGCCATTGTCGCAGTGGTAACGGAGAGAGTAGAGCTGGTGGAATGGTCTGCTGTATCTTGAGCCAACGGTCTTCTGGTACCAAAATACGGTTGCGATTTGTGATGAATCGAATACCTAGGAACTGCAGGTCTTGCGATGGTACTAGGTCCGACTTGCGTAAGTTTACTAACCAACCTAGTTGTGTTAGTAGCTTTATGATGTAATTTAACTGTAGTTTGAGACGCAGTGGATCTTGATCTACTTGTATCCCGTCGTCGAGGTAGAACGCACGCTGCGTAGCCCTTGACGATGTAGAAATTTGATAATCGGTTTCGTTATCCTCGTGAATAGCCAGGGGCTGATGATATTCGAATGGGAGTACTTTCCACTGGTAATGTAGCCCCTTCTAGAGTAAATCGTAGGTATTTCCTGGAATCGGGATGAATGGGGATGTGCAGGTAGGCATCCTGTAGATCTATGCTGCCCATGTAGTCCATAGGACGAATCATCTGGCGTAACTGAGGTAAATGTATCATCATGAAACCGGTGGTTTGGCGTAGATAGTTCTTGTTGAAAAAGCTCATGTTGTAGATGA